TTCGTCACAATAGATTTATTGATATGTAACATTTCAAGCATGCGGTAAACATTATTATTATTTAAAAAAAAAAAATTTATTAATTGTTTTATTAATGTCAGTACGTAAGTTCTCCATCAAGTTATTCACGAGGCCGAGAGATCCGTGCCTCGGAAGTTGCCAGGGAGATGTTGGAATCCCCGAATATGGGCCGATGTATCGAGGATCTACTTCCACGAATGCACATTATTGAAGATCATAACGATGCAAACGACATTCTACATCGTAGCCAACCTATGGTCGCGGAATATTTTGGTTGTCTCTTATTGGATATCATATCCGCAAGACATTTATAAAAGGTTTCAGCCTCTCTTCCCATGCCGCCGGTCGTTGATAGAACTAAAGGCGTGAAAACACCACGTTCGACATTCCTAATTCTCTCTCCGTATTCTCGTTTCTTGGCCTGTTCGTGTCTTCTGTAAACGGATGCGAGGTTCTGCGAGCGGTAGGAGAACGCGTTGGGATAGAACACCCTTACATAAAAAAATGCATCCTGCTGACCATTCCAAAAGCCTTTTGCCCGAATATCAACTCGGGCACCGTCATCGGTATTGGCTGTGCGAGCTGACATGCTCTCTCCACTAAGCGGTTGAAGTGCTGGCTCTGTGGCGACATTGCTACACACTTCAGTGAGGAGTGACGCTGTTAAATCACGAATCTCGTTGTGGCGGATAGTTGGAAAACCTCCCATGTGGCAGATCATGGCGTGATTTACGGTGAATTGAGCACCACAGTTGCACGTTTGAGGCGTGTTGTTCACTTTCCATCCATACCGTAGACGGAAAATCGTGTGTATTTTGTCATTGTATTTTGTATTACCAAATCGTGTGTATTTTGTCACTTTCCAGTCCTCATAGTTATTTGGACAACCGATTATTGGTTGCAATGACAGTTTTTATTTTGAGGGGGCTAATTTCACAAATGTTTTGCAACATATAACGTTTTTTCGCAGAAATCTTGGCTAACATGTTTTGTTCTTAATATTTTTACAATGACTAACGGTTTTCGTTCATTCTTTCTCTAGTTTTTCTCAAAATATTTCCAATTTCGAAGCATAAACTTCAAAAATTTGAATCTGATCGGTTTTTAGGGGGTCTAAGCTCACTTTTATTTCGACGGGGGCCATAGCCCCAATTGCCAACCCCCCTTTTCCGCCGCCCATAAAAGTTTGCTTCTATTTCCATAAAAACATACTAAAAATAGAATTAGGCATGAGTTTGAAAGCTTCGTGCTGTAAAGGGATAAATTTATACTTTTTAAAAAAAATATATAATATATATAAATATCATAATGATTTTGCTTAATGCACTTCTTCAGAAGCTCATAGCCTATCATTTTTTAAAATAATAACTTGACTCCTATAATTTGATTCGTCATCATGGCCTGCAGAATGGATATAATGTACGAAAAACACAAAACACACCAACGCAATTCGTTAATAAAACAACCAATGAAAGGGTATATATTTTAACCAAATAACTCAAAATAATGTTATAGCGCTCTTAAGTATATTTAAAAACTTAAACCAGGATCAAAGATATCGCGGTAAGTGAAAATAAAAAAAGCGCGCCCTTGTCGAATCGCGATTTTGTGTGTCTCGACCTTAACGATTATCCTGATAGTGTGTGAGGAATATCTATAAAATGTTACAGCGGACTGTTATCCCATGAGGTTAAGCTTCCCATTACTGTATCTGTAACTGCAGTGCATTAATTATCGATTATTTTCATTAAGCAACACCTGCAATATTAATGATTTATTACTGTATGCAAAAAGCGCACTGCATGCCGATATACTATATTGTTGGTCGACTGAACATTAACAAATAATGGCTAAACTATCACGGGAACAAATCATGTGGATCTCATATTTCTTGTTGTGTATTTAGTGCTGCATTTATTACACGGATAGATTTTGACGATTTAGTTAATTAACGAAGAATTTTTTAGGTGTCGTATAAGACAATATCAAAATTAATGAATATAATGTCACTTGTCACTTCTTATTTTTATATTTTTGATACATTTCTCAATCAGCTAATAAATAAAAAATTATGGACGGTGCTTTATCTGTAAAATAAAGCCTAGTGCCAATAAATATAAAGAGATTTTAGATGACACACCAGAGAGAAAACGCATGTTCAGTACGCTTTACATACATGCAGTAAATTTTATAGGATAATAATTTTTTTCTCAACCGCCAGATACATTTAGGAAGCGGAATATGACAGTCTAAAAAATTTTGAAAAGAACGCCAAGAAGAAACGCCAAAAGTATTGGAGCTGGCTTTTAATCCAAAATGGGCGACAAAGAAAAGTTGCCTCTCGAGTATAACTTTACTGATTATTCCTATTACCGTCCTGACAAATCATTTGTTCAGTCTATAGCGACAATTGCGGGTCAATATGTTGTTGCAGGTATACAGAGTTCAGGATATGCTTATACAGCAAATTGCCTCTCAACTGTATTTTTTGAGAAAGTAAAATTTATCAGTCGAATATTAATTCTATATAATGTATATTGCAGTGATTTTATTACATAGTTAAAAGCAATAATTTTTTGTGCATTGTTCAGTTTCAACAGTTTTTTAAATGTTCCAATAATATCTCCAATGGGACGTCATCTAAGTTACACTTGATTATATTATTTTCCATTAGCATTGATTTTTTAACGTGGCGGTATAGGATGTGATTAGCCTATACCATATGCTTTTTTAATATGAGAAAGAGCTAGCATTTAGAATTAATGAATAATAATTTCACTCAGGTATATTGATTCCCAAACTATCATGTTTGCGTGGGGATAGAGTAAAAATTTTTCGATCCAGATGCCAATTCCTGGCAACTTTGCATACCTAAATGTTGCCTCCAAAATTTAACCGATTTTACGATCACTATCAACGCATGGAGTCGGAGTGTGCATTTGCTATAGAGGTTGTATTTTTGCACATAAACAATCTTTCCAAATCGTTTGGGAATTAAAAGGGTCAGTTTGGAACGCCTGGTTTATCATTTCAAGGGTATGAAAATAAAAAGAAAATTTACAGGGGTGCCCATTGTGTATGACTATAAATAAAAATTACTTTAAGATGACAAAAGTGTTTGTCTATAAATGGAATCCTGCGCAAATAAGTATTATTGATGTTTCCTGAAATATTGCTCAATTTCTCGCTCTTGCTTGAGGACCGTTGGTTTCAGTTTACCTGTACCTTTCCTGGATGCAAAAGAGTTTCCTATTGCCAAAGTAAAACTTTGATTATTAACAATTGTCTCGCACGCATTGTCATGGGCGTACCTGGCGGGGGGCTGGGGGGCTGGGGGGCTGGGGGGCTGGGGGTGTCGTGTATTTAGATTATACTTCTAACAAAATATGAATAATACATAAGCATGGCCGATCTACATATCTAATGCGCATGTCCGTGCGTATGACCGCTGTCCGTCTATATCTATACATCTAACACCATCTCTCCTCTTAATAGTCCGTGTGTTGTGACCTCGAAAAGTACCTAGAAAACAATTTTCATTAAGCATGTCTTAGAACTGAAATACTTTTACGGGAACTAACACTTTCGAACACGCTGAGTTCAAATCCGAAAAGTTCCCACTCCGTAGACCCGCAGTTTTTTCACAAAAAGCTATTTTATCTTCACTAATTTCACAGCAAATTTTTTCATTGTTCAACGTCACGGATCGATGACGATACACTATTATGTCACTCAAAAGGACCAATTTCTATTAACCATTCTTCCTTTTAACAAAAAACCGGTTTTGCTCGAATCATTTTGAGTTATGTAATCTTATGCGTGTTGGACGTAAACAACATATCTTGTCTACAACTTTGAGAAGGTACAGATAATTCTTTATAATATTCTTAGTTCTGGAACTATCTCTATAAAATCAAAAGGACGTTAATGTCAAGTCTTTGGGCTATGTCTCTGGGCTGAGAAATAATTCCTTACATGGGATCAAAATGTTTTATACAAAGATATAAAACGGGAATCTATATGTAATGGATCAGCATGGAAATTTCCAACACGGTTTTCAAGATGTAATTCAAGAGATAACTTATCATTGCATTTGAACTATTATATCAGTTGGTGTTATACTGTGCGATAAGCGAGTATTATTGGAAAGAGGGCTTCTATATTCGTCGAAATCATCGAATAAACAGCTCATGCACACATTTCTGCACTTCGCGGTAAGTTTACAGAGCATATTTTATACGTTGTGACTGGCTTTGTCTTTGATGTAAACATTTATTCTTATAGCTTAAGGTTATTTAAGATTGATCCAGTCGTAAGTCTTCTACCTGCAAGCATTCGACAATATTTCGTTTGAACGTTGTCTTTGCCGTTACGTTGGCTTTGCGTTACTTTTGTTTTAAATATCTCGATCGCGCTAAATTAGTTACTTTTCTGGCCAGTAACATAGCTAAAAGACTTGACATTAATGTCCTTGTGATTTTATAGAGATATCTCTAGAACTGAGGGTTTTAGAAAGCGTTATCTGTACCTTCTCAAAGTTGTAGACCAAATATGTTGTTTACGTCCAACACGCATAAGATTGCATAACTCAAAATGATTCGAGCAAAACCGATCTTTTGTTAAAAGGAAGAATTGTTAATTGAAATTGGTCCTTTTTGAGTGACATAATCTTGTATCGTCATCGATCCGTATCGTTGAACAATGAAAAAATTGGCTGTGAAATTAGTGAAGATAAAATAGCATTTTGTGAAAAAACTGCGGGTCTACGGAGTGGGAACTTTTCGGATTTGAACTCAGCGTGTTCGAAAGTGTTAGTTCCCGTAAAAATATTTCAGTTCTAAGACATGCTTAATGAAAGTGAACGATATCGGGTCACAACACATGGACTATAAGGAATATATCATAAAATATTGTTCATGAGTTCACTATCATGTTCGAACAATTATGCTAAACATAACAGTAAGTAATAAAGCAGTTCTCTATGTAGTTTTCTTAAACAGTTTTCGGATCAAACAGTTAAGACCCCACCTCTCGGGTGGTTGGTGTGATCTAGTTGGGTAGCGTTGTTCAGATTCTATTGTAGCCCTACCGGCTTCTTGTAGTTGCACTACTGGTGGATTCATGGTTAGTTCGATATCCCGCTCTGCGACAATTTCGTCTGCTGGTGCAATATTCTGGCCAGTCTCTCCGAGCTCTAGATGAGGTTCAGCCGTATCATCACTCTGGTCATTTACTTTCACACTCGAGGCTCGAAGCTGGTCGATGTGACGTCGCCAAATTCGATTTGGACCAACTTTTATCTCGTACGAAAGGGGTCCCGTTTGAGCTCGAACTATGCCTGGTAGCCACTTGTCTTTCCCACTGTAGTTAGGTACGTGCCATGATAGTCTGACCAATGGATAACTGACGTGTGGGGGAATGTCCTTTCCTCCCCGCTTGATCGATTTGCCTATTCATCACTTTCTTTTGTAAATCAGGTTTCACCAAATCAAGGCGAATCCGTAGCGGTCTGCCCCAAAACAACACGGACAGTGATTCTTCAGTCGTCGAATGCGGGGTATTCCGGTAAGCCAAAAGGAACTTTGCCATATTGGTTTTCAGCTGGAATGCACTTTGTTTCTCGCATTTCATAGTAAGGTAAAGTTCCTACCGAAAAGGTAATTGTGGAATTTCTTGACTCCCCACACTGTAGCTAGTGCTTCTTTATCTATCTGTGCGTAGTTGCGCTCCGCCTTCGACAGGTATCTCGATGCAAACGCTATCGGTCGCTCTGTGCCATCTGTCATGACATGAGACAGCACCGCTCCAATTCCTACAGGTGAAGCATCACAAGCCAGTTGTAAGGGAAGGTTAGGATCATAATGTGTAAGCACCAGATCTGAAACAATCATTGCTTTAACATTGCAAAAGGCTTCTTCGCATTGATCTGTTCAGTTCCATTGGTAGTTACTTTCCAGCATTTGGTTCAATGGATGCAGGATTGTAGCAAGGTTTGGCAGGAATTTGTGGTAATAAAATAGCCAGAAATCTCATACAACATGGCGACGAGTATGCGCAGAAAACGCTATTGCGGCGCTAAATATGGCCGCGAAATGAGTGTAAAATGTATTAAAAATTTGTAATTTCTAGCTGCCTGTCTTTGCCATAGGAAAGCTGACCTTTCCCAGCGTCAAAATCAATAAAACACTCCTTGAAGAATATTTATAGCGAACAAAATTTGAAAATAAGATCATTCTAGACGGTGCCTTTTTCAACTTTTGTTGAGATGGTTACCTCAGTACTATTCTTAATAATTTATCAATTTAACGCTAACCTTTGTTCAAACTTGGTCTGCTTAGACAGAATCACTCCATCGATGAATCTCCCCCAACGTCACATTCAAAAGATAAGACGTTAAACTATCTAAAAATATATTTTTTAACCAGATATTCAACCGTTGAAGCGGTGCCATTTCCAGCTAAAGATCGTAATAATTTTAAACGTTAAATATAAAACTGAAGACGCACGGCTAGCACAAAATATCTTTAAAATTAGTTCATTCTGCTGTTCACGACAATTAGCTATAGTGTTTAACTTGACATAAACTTTCGTTCTCCCTCGGTGGCTTAGTGGTAGGTCGTTTGGCCTGTGTCGACAAACCTTTGAGTTCGAGTCGCGTCGAGTTCATATTTTCAATTTTTTTCCTTTTATTTCTATCCAGCTGTTTTTATTCTTTTTACATCTTTATATGAGAAATCGCTTTGCAAGTAGTTGGAAATATTGGTATGTTGAACCTGGCTCGAAGAAAATATACAAAATATTATCAAAACAAGAGTATTAAGCTATTATGAGGAACAATTTGGAGACATTGAGTGAGTTTACGAGGTACTTCATCTTACAACGTCATATTGGCGCTTGCGTGAGTCCGCGAGATGAACCGCTTGCCGTCGCAGATTTCTGGCTATGGTTTCTGAATTTGCTGATTACTTAATCCACACACCAATCTGTCGCGCAAGGTTTCTTCCAAGTTACTTGCAAAATTGCAATGTGTGGTTAATTTCTTTAACTCAGTTATATAACTTAAAATGCTCTCCCCTTCTTGCTGATTTCTCTTATAAAAACGAAACCGTTCGGCTATTTCTAGTGGTTTAGGACTTAAATGCTTCTGTAATGTACTTACTATTTCATCAAAGTTCTTGTCTGCAGGTTTTTCTGGCAAAAGTAAATCCTTTAATAATGAATACGTTTTGCTTCCAATCAAACTCAGCAGAGTTGGCACTTGATGATTGTCGTCGACATCGTTTGCAGCGAAAAAATGTTGTATTCGTTCAACATACGTCTCCCAGCTTTCTTGGGTTTCATCAAAAACATCAATTTTTCCAATCGTCGTCATTTCTGGACTTATAACAATCCCAAATTCGGCGCCACTGTCGTGTATTTAGATTATACTTTTAACAAAATATGAATAATACATAAGCATGGCCGATCTACATATCTAATGCGCATGTCCGTGCGTATGACCGCTGTCCGTCTATATCTATATATCTAACAGGGGGGCGGTAGCCCCCCAGTGTTTTGGGCAGTCGGGCAATATTGGATCAACAGTCGGGCAATATTGGTGTATAATAAAAATGAATGGGACAAATTCTGTCAATTTTGTCGGAAATTCTGTCAATTTTGTGGGGGAGGTCGCCAGAATAATTTCCGGAAAATTTTTTTCGGTACTGGTCGGGCACAATCCCAAAAAGTCGGGAAAATTTCTTTCCGCCCCCCCCATTTTTTTTCTTCCGGTACGCCCATGCACATTGTATTCGTAAACCATCCTATGTGTAGACATGAAAGGGTCTAGTACTTACTTCAAACCCTATAGCCGTTTAATTAAATGAATATCTAGATTTTTATTTGCATAATTATATTTTATTCTGAGTGATACAAATATATGAGGGAAATTAGTGATTAAATATCCCGAAGGCGAAGGGAGGTTTGTGGGATTCCACAAACCTCCCAAGGGTGAGGGACATTTAGTCACTAATTTTCCGACACATCATGGTATTGGTTTGTAATACCATCACTCAGTTTCCACTAATAAAAGGGCACGCATGCCATATTTGCAAACAGCAAATTTAAGCTAAAACTTCGGTGAATAAGATGCTTGTGATGTTACTCTGAGTGTATATCCACATCGGTCAGGCTTGAAAAATATGCCTGACCACGGTGGGAATCGAACATAGGACCTTTGGAATACTAGCCCAATACTCTGCCAACTGAGCTACGCGGTCAAGTCGGTTCGTGTTGTGCTTCTTTGCTTGTGGGATGTAAAAACTAGTTGCACATGCGCACTTTTTACGCTTTAATCGTTTACGCATGCGCAATCTATCATTTACCGCACCACAACAAAAATAGTAAATATATTTGTATAAAATCATGAGCGTAATTTAAATGACGCAATAGCTCAGGAATCAGATGATAAGAATACCGACGGACCTGAGCTGACTGTTGTTGTTCCTTGCAGCACACGTGCGGCACTTGCCCAATGAGTAGTTGTCAGCAGTGCTTCCATTTTCAAAAAACACAATTTCCTTCCAACCGTTCAAAATTTCTTTATTTTTGAAAAAATTCCTTGCAATAAAAATTATTGAATTTTACCAAATTTCAAACTGAGTTTATAGTAATTTATCTCGAATAACGGCGTATTTCTTGTTCTAGAAGGAACATACACGTTGCAGCAGCTGAATTATCAAATGGGAAAGACAAAGAGTTTACCTACATCAACACGAAGGAGAATAACCAGGGGGGTGTGGGGTCCTCCCCAAGTAAATTTTCAGATTTTGTATCCCGCAGGACAGGATATTCAGCATATTTTGAAGCGCATTTCCTTGGAAATTGCCGTATTCTTAGGATTTTTTAGAAATAAGGCAATTTCCTTCACATTTCCTTCAATCTTCCGAAATTTCCTTCAAATTTCCTTCAGATTCGAATTTCTTTATAATTTCCTTCAACTAGTAAATATTTCCTTCAAAAAAGAAATTTCCTTCAAAATGGAAGCACTGGTCGCCATGGAGAAAAAGGGCTTGACACTTGCCAACGGGAAATTTATAAATTGCCTGCTCGAGCGGGAATTTAGCGATTAAGTTCCCGCTCAGAACAATAGAATCCCGTCCAATCATGGTATTATTATAACTAATAGCATGCTTTGATGGAGATTAGTGATTAACCCGTACCCCGAAGCAGGTTTGCGGAATCTCCGAGGGCGAAGCCCAAGGCATTTACCCCCTGATATTATTTAAAATGGCGGATGTCCAGGGGGGGAATGCCTCTCAAGCCCGCACTGGCTAGGAGCTTGGCGTCAGCAGTTTTGATGATGAATCATGGCGTGGCAGCGTTACTCGAGTCGACCTTCTGTGTACCTTATTCTGTGACCGAGCGATTAATTAGTAGTCGACCCTGTTTAAAAACAAAAGAGACCCGCGGAACTATGCTATTACAATACTTATGTCAAAACAACTATCGCTTTTTTAATGCTTGCGTGCTAGTTATTTTTGACAAGAATGTCGTCATTGCTGTTGTCATGCAAAGTATACACATATATACTACACACCCTGTGACATTAGTTTAAATACATGCATTTTTAGATATTTTGACATTTGATATACCAACCATAAATTAACGCTTGAACTGGAACGTCCTTGAATAAATGCCGTATAATATTGGCCTGGGACAGCTTTAAAAATATGGATGCACTAAGGAAATAATTAAAAGAGATCTTTTTTAAAGTCTTTTATTTAGTCATAACTATCGTGAATATATATTGTGTTAAGTTTTGTTGCTCGTGTGCTTGGAACGCTGTTAAACATTTATCAGTCTCATGTCAAGACCGCCTTTTGTTTGCGAAAACCATATAGAGTAATTTGCATCCAAGCACAAACCGCAAACATTTTCGCCCGTTTTTTAAAGTTTGAAACGGGGCGTTTACCGTTGGAAACTGAAATGTATTCACCGCTCATGTGACGTGTCACAGTGAAAAAGCTATTTTTTGCGCAACTGTCATGTTTTGATGTGCCTCCGTGTACGTTTCAATATTTCCAAGCCCATGATAATACGTTCTAGAAAAATAAGTATGAATATAAACAAGTTTGGTCGCTCTTACAATATCGTGAGCTTGGAAATACTGAAACGTACACGAAAGCACATCAAAACATGAAAAATAACTGAATTAGGCTTTGCACTGTAACACGTCACATGAACAGTGAAACATTTCCGTTTCCAACGGTAAACGCCCCGTTTAAAACGTAAACAAACGCGCGAGAATGTTTGCGGTTTGTGCTTGAATGCAAATTGTTGTATCAGTACATTTGTCAAGTTTTTCTTCATGGCCGTGCACATGAACAAATTTTCCTTGTAGCCAGTCAATCTGTGACCAGAGGTAAAAAAATTGCAATAGAATTTTTCTCAGTGATAATATGTGAGGAAAGGTGTCCTGATTAACATACTAAAAATCCCAAAAAATCCCTTCGGTGAAACATGGTGAAAATCAAGTTTTTCTTACTTATATACCTATAGCAAACCATTGTGGACAGAATGTTCAAAATTGCAAATGTAACCTACATTATTGAAAAGCTTAACCAAACTATATTAAGGTCAATTAAACCGTTATATTCAATTTACTGGTCAGTTTGTCGTTATTCTAGCTCAAAGTTGGAAAAATAGCGCAAAATGTGCACAAAATACATATTTATGGCATTTTAAATCTTGTATAACTTCGGCTGGATAGGCAAAAGCAAGGTAACCGTTTAATGATCTATATTTTAGTTTTTTCTAAGCTTTCCAATGATGCATGTTATATTTGCAAAAAAATACTTTCAAAATTTCAACATTTTGTCCGCAATGGTTTTCTATAGGTAGATGTAAGAAAAACTTGAATTTCCATGTTCCGCCGAAGGGATTTTTTGGGATTTTTAGTATGCTAATCAGAACGCCTTCACTCACATTTTACCACTGAGAAAAATTCTATTGCGATTATTTTGATCAGGACCATGTACTTATAGTGATTTGACTGGACTATTGTCCCGCAAATCTGGCAGACTTTCTTTGGAACAATACTACGCCTAGCAAAGAAAAAGATGCCAATTTTTGCCACACAGACGCAATACACACGAGTCAAGAAAACAAAAACTGTCAAGGAAAAATTTCCCGTCCATACAGGGTTTACTATTGTGTAAGAAATCACGATCTCCGAGTTTCGAACGTATTCGAAACCATTCAATAAGTTTTTTATTCTGGATTTTTATTCAGGATTCTTTCTTCCTTTCTCCCAATATTATATTGGCAGGAGGTTCGGTAAAGTCCATTGGTACCGAATTATCTTCATTTCTTTTCCGGTCATCACCAAAATTACACTGAAGTCAGGCTTGATTATACAACAAATTTTCTTTCTTCAGTTTTAGCTTTAGTTTTTCTTTCTTCAGTTTTAGCTTTAGTTTTAACACTTATTCAAAATGAACTCTATAGATTATAGGCTTACAGTAAAACTGGGATTGATATAAATATCATATATCCTAGCCAGTTTAAATATTTGCAGATATATAGTATCAAGTTAATATTTACTCTTAATCTCTAAATAACATGCATGCAGTTATTATTTGATATTAAGATCATTATATATTTAAAAAATTGTTGTGAAAATCATACACTACCCGCCGCGAATAGCTTTGCTAATTGCGGGATCGTGTAATCAAAATGTATTATTTAACTAAACTATTTGATTAAATTTTGATTGATTGATTGATTGATTGATATCTCATCATGTACAAACATATTTAACGTGTAACCAAAATATGCCCAAGAAATCGAAACTATGAGCTAGATTTTCAAACTAGACCCTTCTCGAGGCCCTTTTCATGAAGAAAGTTCACCTTCCGCAATTTTTACATAGTTTCAAAATTTGTCAAATTTTGCAAGCTTGTATTTTGAAATTAGACCGCTAAAGTTGCATTAAGAAACACAGGATGGAAAATTTGAGGCATATAAAATAAATTTCAACTTACATTTCATTCTCATATCACGTTGTTCTTCGTTTATTACGGTTTTGAGCAAGCCATACCTCGACGTATACGGTATTTGCTCCCATGTTCACGTCGCCATATTCATTTCTTCCAATCACGATTACAAAAAAATCATTCCAAAACAAAGAATTCATGATCGATTTTTAAGAGAATAACCGTTAATGTGTATATCGTTGAATGGAAAGCAAATATTCGTCAGCTAAAACAGCTTTTTGCTAACTTTCTGCTTTGTTTTGAATGTAAATGCAATGGAGCTTTGTTTCTGCCCGTGAGTTTTTGGTCAGCGACGACAAATTTCTCACCTGTTATTATATAATGTAATTTTGCAAGA